TCAATGGTGTTGTCAAATGACTATACTTCCTTAGAAGTAGGACACATTTTTCTAGTAAGATGTGACTGTGGCCATCAAAGTCCCTAAAACTTAGCTGTGCAGATTGTAACATTTTGTGACCTAATGTATTAGTTACTATTTCTAAATAATAATAGAAATAATATGATAGAAAACTTCCTCATTTATACTGTTTTTTGGGATTATCAATCCAATGATATCCCCATTGCTGATAATTTAAAACAAAATATGATTTAATGTTGAAACTTCTCAAATTCTCCCTTACATTCTCCTTGGGGTTGCCCCTGTATTTCCAGAACATTATTCACATCACAAAACTTGGTGATGAATAGATTCCTGTCTCTTAGTGCTGCCATTTCATTTCTAGCTGTTTTTAAGTGGTCCTCTGTCCCTCATCTATTTCTCTGTGCATTCTCTGTGAAGTGCTGTGCTTTAAACCTGGCCTGAGTTCAACTTCGTAGTTTTTTTTTTTTTTTTTTTTGGTACCGGGGATCGAACTTGGGTCCTTGTGCCTGCAAGGCAAGCGGCATAACCACTGAGCTAAATCCCTGGCCCAACTTCATAGTGTTTGTCATCCCTAGAAAATACTCTTCTGAGGTGGTGCTTCTGCTGTGGGGTGGCTGTAGGTAGCTATGACACTGGCAGCCCCACCAGAATTCTCTCAGAGCCAACTCTTTTCACAAAACCCACAGGAGTTGAGAGAAGCTGGAGAGGGAGAAAGTCTCCAGATCTTCATGCTAAACACACCCTGTTGCTGTTGTACTTTCTTATTTCCATAGCCTTTTAGAAGAGGAGAATCCATATACCTTTGGTCTCCTGAAATCTCATCTAGAATATGATTTTCTCAGAACTAGGACGATGATTCCCAATAATGTTATATATAGCCACTGCTATAATATGGATGTTTGTATCCCCTCCAAAATTCATATGTTGAAAGCTTTCCCCCTAAATTGATGGTGGTATTAGAAAGCAGGGTCTTTCAGAGATGGTTAGATCATGGAACAGAGCTGTGAGGAGTGGGACCAGAGTCTTTTTTCATACAGAGGCCTGAGAAAAACCCCTGATTTCTTCCAGTTTATGAGGCTACTTTGAGAAAGAGTCTTCCTTCTTTGAAGCAGAAAGCTAGTTGCTGGCAGCTTGATCTTAAGCGTTCCCAGTCTCCTGATTTGGGATAATAAATTTCTCTTGTTTCTAAGCTACTTAGTTTATGGGATCTTGTTTTAGTAGGCTCTCAGATTAAAACTGTCAGCTTCTTCTAGTTTTGAAAGGAAATCATATTGTGAGCCTCTCCCTTGACCAAGGAGTTTCTTTCTCCTAATTATTATCTTGTTTCTCTTCTCGGTTCTGGATTTTTTTGTTTTTCTTTTCTGTTTGTGATCAGGTAGCAGTGATGTTAAAGTTGAAGTGAAGGAATGTGTCTATGAGTTTTCATTTTTCTCTCAGACTTTTCTCCTAACTGAATATTGAACTCAATCTCTGAAGCCAACAATTTCATGACTTTGTTCCTTGGTCCATTTCTGATAAACACCTCATAAATCAAATGTCCAGCCTCTGTTTCAAAAGTTCATACTGGGGAAGTCCAGTGGGGGCTGGTTACATTAAAGATACATATAAAAATATCAGTTGATATGACATCCTTCTATACTGCTGGTTTTCATCTGAAGTATAGTGTAATCATTTATTGTCTTAGAAAAAATGTCAGATATATGGTTGGTGACAAATCACTAAGAACTGTTATGTTAACCATGGTAACAGTTCTGTGTTTCTAAATAGTGCAAAAAGAATATGAAAAAAGTCTTATTAACCTTTCCTTGAATTGATTTTGGGAGAGGATTTGTTGTGATACATGGGCCAGCAACACAGCCTACAGCCAACATAGCCCATATAGGTGAGCATATAATTGTTGTTGACCACTGACTCTGACATCAGACTAACTCTCCTACTTAATAGCTGTGTAACTCCTCTTAGTTTCGGTGTTCTCATTTGAAAAATAAATATATTTTTTAGAATATTTGGAAGCACTAGATGGGAGATTTCACACAATGTGCTATCTGGTGTATTCAGGGAAAATTAAGAAAGAAAGTGTTACAGTCATTTCTATGATGTTTATTTTCTTTTCTGTAGAAAATCACACAGACTAAACAGTAAGACTAAACACAATTACCAATATAAAGAAAGCAAACAGGTGATTTTAGACAGCCAGTGGAAAATTCTCAGTATTATAATATGAGTTTGAGTTAGAAAAGTGAGACGGTAAAAATGAAAAGCCTAAGTAGGAGCAACACACTTGCAGTAGAGTGGATTCTGTCTTGGCAAAGAAGTTTGCAGAAATCATCTTTATGTAGCCCACCTAAGGATCATGGTTTAACAACTTTGCCCTCCTCCATTGCTGGGGAAAACTAAATTCACTGGCTGACTTTTTAAATTTTCTGGTCCACCGTTACCAATTATCATAATAAGAAAGGTTGTGACCCTGTTACAGTTCATTAGTAGGATCTTTTGTTTGTGGTTACTCCTGTTTTGTACATTACTTTGGAATATATAGATTTGCCTAGTATATGTATAGAGTCTATAGAATGCTTAGTAATTAAAGAAAAGGCTTGATTTATGTCCCACTACCAAGAACAAGCTAAGCTACAAGGACCCAGAAGACATTCAATGCCTTTCAGGCCATAGCAGAGTTGATTTCTTAAGGTTTACACTTAAAATAATGCAAGGACATGGACAAAAAATGAATATTTGAGTCTATAATAAGAGAATGACTTTTGTTATTCTGAAATTTGGGGCTGTTTTAAATAATGCAGTACTTGTCTATGGCAAAAGGCTGATTGTGAAGGAGTCATATGTCATTGCAAAGCAAAGTAGGGATTCCATCTATTTAAGAAGAAAAGACACTCCAGCCACTTGATGATTGTAGCAATATTCATGACTTGCAGTGCTGACGTTCTATGGATTGATGCAGTCTTCAAGTGTGGAAATACTGAGTCATGCTGAAGATAAGATGCTTTAATAATGAAAAAAATATTTATGTAGTCAGTAGATTGTCAGTAAAGGAGGTTTAGATTACAAGAGTCACCCAACAGAGACTATGTCAGGTTGCAAATTATTCTAACCACAAAATCATTTGAAAATAAGTGAAGTAAACCTAGAGTGACTTGATGCAACCCAGATCTGCTCATTCCTTCTTTCTCCCCCACTTCTCCTCTTTTATCCTCCTTCTTTTTCTTTTGAAATTGAAAAACAGTTGATTCTGTATCTAAACATAATTCCAGGGCCACCCACTCAAGACCCCTCCTGGGAACCCAGAGCTATTCTTCTTCATATTTCCAATAAAATTCTCCTAACCTCCCCAAATTCCCCAAACAAAACAAAAAAACAGACCAACAAACAGAGATAATACTGTACCAGTACACTTGTGAAAAAAATAAAGTCAGGGCCATTTTTGTGACATTTGGGAAATGCCTATTCCTAGGATATCAATGCTGCAGTGCTCATGGATCTCTTCATTTGTTCTCTCCATTTACATTGCTTGGTATGTTGTCTTAATGTCTGCAATCATTTTTCAGGACACAATTAATTGTCTGTTTTTGTAATATTTATTATTTGATAAAATTATTTGACAAGTTGTGGAACAAAAAAAATCTTGTTTTAGTAGTATTAAGGATTTTAAATCATACAGGTCATTTAGTTACTCAATTTCTGATATCCAGGCCAAACTTACAACCATTTTAGTTGAAAGGTTAGGAAGACAGCCTGAGAGCCTTGCACCCATACAAGGACAATCCTGTTTCATTTCTACCCTCTCTTGTTTAAAACGTTTCACTTCATGTTTCAGTATTTGACTTAAGTAAATGACTTTAGAGTATATTCAAGATCTTCACTCTTCCAAACAGTATGCTTCAGATATAAAAATAAAGGAATTAAAACAGGGGATGGATGTGCTAATTTGATTGTTTTATTTCACAATCTAGCTATCAAAGCCTCTCGTTACAATCTTTAAATATATACATTTGTTCTTGTCACTTATATTTCAGTAAAGCTGTCAAAAAAAATAAAAATGACTTCAAGTAGGTGTAAACTGATGACACTACACTAAGTGCCCAAATAAGAAATTAATCAGTTGACTGTGTTAGACTCAGATTAAAGTCATCTTTTCTAAATTTCCTCTTTCAAAAGCTTCTCAAATTTAGCTCTGAACTGGAATTAATCTGTATTCACATATATTCTTAGCACTATTTTAAAATTTACTTCAATTTTATTTTCTTACTATGTAGTATAGATTTTTATGAGTCATTCTAAATATTTTCTGGAAGAAGAGAGGATTAAAATAGGTAAATTAGTAAATAGAATAAAGGTTTATGTTATTAGATATAAATCACCTGTATCTATTTTATTGACAATACTAGACTCTATTTTTAACTGTGTCTAACCGATCACCAATTTATAATAATCCAATTGTGGAATACGTTTTAAGACAACAACAGAAGTTTTTCGCTGTTTTGGCCTAAAGTGCCATTATGATGGTTGGTGAAAGTATTAATTGAAGCTATATTCTTTTTCTCTTAATGTCAACTCCTTTTGAAGCTATAAATCAAATTTTTCACTTACTTAATGACATTGCATTTATTATTCAAACTCCAAGATAATAAAAATCATAGAAAAAAATTTTTTTTGTATCGGGGATCGAAACTGGGGCCTTGCTCTTTGCGCTTTCGAGGCAGGCAGCAGAACCACTGAGCTAAATCCCCGGCCCCAGGAAATTTTTACTGTCAAGTCCCACTGCTTTAGTATAGAGTTTTTCTCACTAAAAAGTTGGTTGGCTTTTGAAAATCACAAAATGTTCTTGCTTAGAGACAAGGTCATTTCTCATCATTGTCTGAGTTGTCTTTTCAGCTTCTGTGTCCAGTGGAATGCAAGTTGTACACGTTTGTGGGTGCTATCTGTACTTATGTTCTTTATTTTTCCTATTGTCACTTTTCTAGGTCTACAGCATCATGACAAGAGCAAGGAATCGCCATGGTACTGAAACAGTGTTAGGAAGTTGAGTTGCAGCCTAAATCCAAGGACCCACTGTGGAAATTTGTTATTAGGATTTTTCCAGTCTGCAAAGAGACACAAGTAACATGGAAAGAGAAGAGGACATGTCAGGCAGTTGACTTTGGGTTTGAAACTTTTCTGGAGAAAGCAAAGTGGGTTCTGGTCATTGAAGAAAAGCATTTTTTTTTTTTTTTTTCCCTCATCTGAGCCTTTGTCAACTGTGTGACTTTCTTTTTTACTTTTTGGCTTTACCAGTACATGGGTTAATTGTTATTTCATTTTTATTTTTTTATATTTTTCCTTTGGAACCAGCCATTGTGTCGGAAAAGATGAACCACAAATGAAAATGCTCATTCTTTCAGGAATAAAATTTTGTAACTCTATGTGCATCTATTTTTGTAGAAATACAGAAAGTTTGGTTTAGCATTGATGGGCTATTTTTGAGGGATTTTTAAAAAATATTGTAAAAATTGTTGAGTTCTGTTTAAAGAACTTGCTCTCAGAGAAGCACTGGCAACAATGTTTAAAAAAATGCTTATCTTTATAATGTCTGTGATATGGTCATTTTTGTGCTTTCTAGGTTTACCTCAAGTGTGTGATATTTTCTTCTTTCTATAAAAGTAGCTACACTATAGCCAAACCAATTCAGTATTGTTTTTCCATTAAATCTCAGTGGTGATTTAATTCTCTTCTAGCTCACTTAATTTTGACTTACATGTATAACTTGGAAAGGGGAAATGTTAAGGGCCACCCTAAAGGATATTTCATTACTTTGATTCTCCCGAAGAGTACTTGGAGGCTATGATGAAAGTTTGCATTAATCAGATGGAAAGTTTGCCTAAAGTATAATAATTCTCTTTCTAGTCCATCCAACTTTGATAAATGGAACCAGAATTTATAAACAACTACTGTACTTAAAAACAAATGTGTTTAATCATGCTACCTGTGAGTGCCAGTGACTTATTCTGCTTGTTTCTAATTATTCATTCATAAAAATTTAAAAGTTAATGAGGTTTTTTTCAAAGTGATATTTTTTTCCTGGAGAATTTGATGAAATAATATCTGGAAAGGTACTAGACACGTAACAAAGCCCAGGCTGTTTCTGTTAATGTCGCTCATCATTTTAAAATGAAAAAAAATATAGTGCTCATGTAACCTTTTAAACCGATATTTTGCAAGTAGTTTTATTTCTTCCATTGTTTTGGTATAAGTCTAGATTTCCTTGTTTTAATCCTTTAAAATATTTTAGGTCAAAATAAAATTTGTATTGGCTTTTAAACTTTTACCACAATTACTGAAATTGGGCTAAACTTAACAATTGAGGATTCAACTTGACATGGCCTTAGGATTTAAAGTTGTTTAAATTGACATTTTAAAGGCATTAAAGACAAGGTACATTGCTTCTTTCACTTGCATGTGTCATGTGAAAAGTTAGTTTCATTTAGCTGTTTGAATTGGATGAAATGAGTTTTTCAAATTTCTCCCATCTTTCTCCACACACATAAAATAGAATGTTCTATGAAATGCTGCTTTCCAACTTTAATTGTGCACATCATGTGCATGAATATTAGACATGGACAAGACAACATGCTTAGGCAGAGTGCTCACAGATAATTTTCAAATATTCTACTCGGCTATATCTTATGTATCAATTTTTATGGTGGATCCTGAAAGTTATAGACCTATAATCTCTTGTATTTTTGTCAATCTCTACTTTGCTTCTTCTTAACTAGAATTTCTTAAACAAAATGTGTACATTTTTAACAACATAAAGTTCAAACTTAAGGTATCTTCCACTCAGCAACAATCTCAAATTTCTAAGGAATACCCTGCTTAATTACATGCATTTTGATACATTATTTGTTTAATACAATTTTTTTGTAATTTTTCCAAATAAGTGTAGCACAGAATTTAATGAATCTATGAAATGTATTTTGTCCAGGGTTATCCTGAGTATTTGAAAACCAGTATTCAGTAGTTTCCATGAGATATCTCACTGTGGATTATTAGCCTCCTTTTCCCTTAGAATCTGTTAACTTCCTTTGCAGCTTCTGCTAGAACAGTATCATACTTCATTTAGATCCTTTAGTTGGAATTTTCCAGTTAAGAAGTGAAAATATTAAATTTTTGCTTCTTTATTATCTGTGAAACTGGATTGAAAGAGACAGAGGTGACAAGTAGTGGCTTCAGCTTTAATTTAGAGTTTGTTCTCTGCCCTTCCTTGTATGTGTGGATAAAATACTTCTTGGCTCTAGGGGCCTGAGAAAAGTAAAGAATCTAAATTCTCCTTTACACAGGAAGGATTTTCAAGTGAGTTTTGAGAACAAGCTGAGGTGTGGGTTAAAATCTAAGTAGAAAGGTGTAAGTACACTGTTTTATGATTGTCTGTCATCCTTATTATCATATTACCAGCACCATCAGAATCACAAAAGAGGATGAGTTGTAATTTAATATAATAATCTAAATTTATTCTACATTTAAAATTCTGTCACCCTGTAAATCTGTTTTTTTAGCATCAAAATTATACTGTTGGACCTAGAGGTTTCCAAATTGCTTTATTGAAGGGTTCTACTTACCTTTCTAACTTCATTTAGAACCACTTCACCTTTGATTGTTTTAAAAATTAAACCTCATTCAAACTGTCTGAAGATCTATGAATTAGATAGTAGAAAATCTTCTCATTTACTCTAATTTATGCTTCCAGCACTCAACTATCAGAAATTAAGGGACAACATAGTGTTGGCAAATTAGAACCCTAACAGGATGATTGATTTTTCATTGTTAATTCGCCAGGAGCATCAATACTTTGTAAAACCCAGTATGTTTTCTTAAGAAAGTTAGCCAAACTCTCTTTACTACTCTGGTAATTTTTCTCTGTTTTCTCTTCCTTTTTAAGGTTATTTATATTTACTTAAGCAAAATTGGCCAAGATTGCTCTAAGATTTACAAACTGAGAACCAGTGTATTGCAAATAATTGAGGAATTGATTTCTTTAACTTTGTACATTTAACAAAAAAATTCTAGCCAGTAGCACAAATGATGCCCCTAAAGAACTCGATATTTCTTATGCAAATAACATTTGCCCATTTCTAGTCTAAAACTTGAAGAACATGTGCCAGAATGTAGTTTTTGAGTTTACTATCTTGGTGTATATGTGTGTGTGTGTGTGTGTGTGTGTGTGTGTGTATTAGATTTTTGACTAGGAGATGTATATGAAAATGGAATAAATTGATGTGAAGAGAATGGAAACCCTTTTCTGAATTCTGGATTAGCTACAATTTAATGTGCAATTTGGGGCTTCATTAATTTACCTCATGGGTAAAATGGGATAATAATGTCTAATGGGTAGGCTAGGGAAGTTGGAAGTCGCATATATGTGTGCATGCATATGTGGGGTGTGTGTGTGTGTGTGTGTGTGTGAGAGAGAGAGAGAGAGACAGAGAGAGAGAGAGAATGTCATTACATTGAACTCCTGAATGTCTGTTCTGCATTTTTCCATACCCATCTGTCTAGCAATCAAATGGATACATGACTGCTTTACTGTAAGGAATTACTGCACAGAGATTATTCTCCTTATACTACGTGAGAGAGATCAAGTATTAATTTATTTGCTCTGACCTTTTATACTCTTCCTGAAGGAAAATGATTTCTTCATGATGTGTAAGCCCAATTGAGAGTTTTCTTACATATTTCAATTCAAGAATGTATTCATCCAGGACCCTCTCTCAATTTAAGAGTACAGTGTCATTGAATGATCAAAGTTCATATTTCTGGTAATATTTTGGGCTTCCTTGGCATCTGGAGTAAGAGCATTTCTTTTGAAGTTATCCATTTTTTTTAACTTTCTTTGGAGGAAAAGTTGCAAAATATGGTGGAAAAATCTTCTGCATGAAAAGAGGAGGGGGATCTAGCCCTTTACACACTCAGCAGATTTACTCTGCTTGTGAAAAAAGAAACAACTTTATTGGAAGCAGATGTTGACACTATGTCAGTTATTGAAGATGGAAAGAGTTCGCGTGCCAGGCAGTTATAAAAGGGTATTGATAGCAGTTACAATCCTGATGGATCAGCTTCCCACGTGATGGAGGAATAGCAGAATCTATGAAACCAAAATCCAAACCAGTCTCCAATTTTAATGTACAGGACCCAGAACCCTAAGGATTTATTTTTAAAATTTTGTTTTGTTTTTTTTCTTCCCCGAAGGATAAAAGCTAAATCTTTCAGGAAATGTAAGGCTTGAGAGAAAAATTACAGCTTATGTTTTAAAAAATATTTAAAAGCTAAAGAACTTTTAAACTCTTATCAAAGCATTAAAACTATTATTAAAATTGTTTAAAAATATTAGGCTAGAGTTTTAGTCCAAAAAATATATGTAAACTGTAAAAAATTACAGCTGGTGTTTGGGACATGTATGAATCCTGAGAGGAAACCTCTGTCTCAGGAGCTGCAAAATATTAATCACCTTGATAACTTGATCACAGATTGGGCAAAGAACAGACATTAAAATTATACATTGGGATTTTTTTTTTTTAGTGCTTTAGTGCTTTCCAAATTGTAGAGATAGTCATTATTTTAAAAAGATAGTGATTTTCTTATTGTCATTGTGCTTTTTCATTTGCTTAAAAAAACCTTTTTTATGATTTCAAATAATGCATAAAACTAATATTCAATTGAAATTTCAGTCAATTTAATTTGATGCAAAAATTTTACCTAAATCTCTTTATTCAATCCCAAGAAATTCTACTATATTTGAGCATAATTTACCAATCCCATTGAATAAGTAAACAAGAACACCTTCTAGAAAAGGAAAATTCATCTTTAATTAGCTTCCTGTTTCTAGACTACTAAAATTGGGCATAAGAATATTTCTGTTAGACTACAAGATTCTTTAATTATTTGTTGTTATATGCATAAGATGTGAACTTTTCTAATAATGTCTCTTTATACTAATAGAGGTGTAAATTTTTTTCTATCCTGTGGTTAGAGCAAAGTTAATTTACACACTTGATTTAATTCCTTAGGATATGTAAATTTTTGCATATTCTATCTGATTTAGAAATACTATTCCATATGTTTTTTTAGGATATACAATATAGGGAAAGGTTTTCATGTGAAGTATTTGTATCATTTTGAAGTGTATATACTAAAGGAAATGTTGGATTCAATATGTTTTCATCATATAAATCTAAAGTACAATGCTTTCATAAAGAAAAAAATACACAGAATGATAAACTTTATATTTGTCACATGATCCAGTAAACTGAAAATCAACAATAGAAACATTACCATACACCACTGGAATATAATGTAATTTCAAATTTATTAGTTCCACAAACAATTATGTTACCTTTACATTTCCATAAAAGGAAATTAATCTTAGTTATTCTGTCATTTTTAAGTAATAAAAATATATATCATTCATAAAACTTTTGGTTTTATAAGATAATTATAAAATCACATTTTTAGGGTTTTTTGTGGGATTGGGGAAGAGACTTTTAAATTTCTATTTACACTTCAACTGCAGGACACATAACTATATGCCAATGATACAAAATGATGGAAAACTTTGTAGTAAAAACAGATGTCATTATCTTCAATTGTTCAATAAATAATGTGAATTTAATGTGTATATTTAATGTAGCATTTTAATTTTGTCTGAATTTCTTGAGAATTAAATGTTTTTGTTTCCTCTTTATTTAATTAAAAATCTAGCAATATTTTTCAAAATTACATCTTAGGTTTTTTAATTATGAAGTTCATTATTGGAGTCATGTTACAGTGCAGAGGGGAGTATACAACAAATGTTTATAATGTAAGAGCAAGTGAAATGGCTTATACTAATTACAAAATAACAGGTGCCTTGAGAATTTGTGTGTATGTGTATGCGTTGTACTAGGATTTGAACCCAGGGCCTTCTCCATTTTGAGACAGGATTTCACTAAGTCATTAAGTTGCCCAGTCTGGCCTCCAACTTGTGATCCTCCTTCCTCAGACTGGCAGAGTGCAGGGATTATAGGCAATCACCTTCAGGGAGAATTTTTTAATATAGTGCTTATAAAATAATCATTTGAAGTTTAGGGAAAGAGGTACTGTTTTTACATTTATTGACACAACTAGCTATATAATAAATAATAAATATTAAAAACAAACTTAACAGAGACTTTTCTACAATTCATTGGCCTTGAAGAAATATCCCAGGAAAGGAGAATTCCAAGAGCTTGCATTTTGAAACAAGCAAGACATATGCAACACATAAGCCCTCTATTTTCTTATTAAATGAATCTTTAATGTGAACGTATGAAAGTCTGGAAATCAGTATCTAAATAAGTACACCCTCCCACATGACAGCTGAAAGAATTGGCCACAGCCTCCTTATCTGTACCATATTTATGCTAGATTATTATAGGAGTTTTTTGTGGTGGCTGTAAAAAATTATTAGAAATATTGCTTAAAATTACACAAACTTGATTTACTATTCTGTGGGGAAGGCATTTATCAGAGATTTTGTTTTGCTGGACTACAAAGTGTAGGCTGCATTCTGTCTTGATGCTCCAAGGGAAAATGTTTCCTCACGATTCAGTTTCTGGAGTCCTTCCCTCATGGCCCTTTTTCCCTCTCATCAAAACCAGTAGCTGCTGGTCAAGTCCTTTGCACATAGCATCACTCTCACCCTCTCTTCTGCCTTTCCTTACAGACTTAGGGCTCCTTGTGATTACAGAGTATATGTGTATAACCTAGGATACTTTCCCTAGATCATAACCCTTTATTACTTATCTGCAAACTCCTCTTTTCCATGCAAGATATAATATTTATCAGTTCTAAGAATTGGGCCAAGAACATCATTCGGAGGACATTAATTCCACCTATTTTGCCTACTACTTAACTTCAATAATGTTTTATCAACATTATAAATAGGATTTAATATTTGTAACTAATAAGACATAGTGATTGCATGGGCATTTTTGTGGGAATTCATCTTTGTTCACTTAAATAATTGCAAATGAAAGAAATTCCTGTTGCTATTTCAAATGGATCACGTAGTTATTATGATGCTTGGAATCCAGGGGGCTATGTGATATTTATGTAAGCCAGGCACTCAGTGGGGTGGAGAGCAGGTCATGTAGTGCAGATTCTTCCAAGCTGAAGTGTGTTTTCTCTGGAGACAACCAACTACCATTTAATTGTTTTGCTTCCTTTTTTGGGAACATATGCCCAACCTGTGATGTCCTAAGTCACCAAGCATCTCACTTGACCTACCCATACACATTTGACTAAATACCAAGAGATGACTACATTGACGTGGTAAAGCTTTAATACTTTTGTCCAGATTGAATCATTCCAGATGCTATCAGCTAGGCAATGGAAAAACTTACAAAAAGCAAACATGTTTTGCTAGAGTTAATGTGTAAAGTAGGTGTCCATCCTATGCAATGCTGCTCAATAAATAAGCTGATTTTGTTAGAAAAATCAAGCACAACTGTTTTACTTTCTATACAAAATTTAGATGTAGTAGAATGAAGAATACCAGCGTTGATCTTTGATTTACACTTCTATAAAAGACTACTTGCAGAGAGCCAAATATAGAAACAAATTTTTGGTGCTATCTTCCAAAAAAATACAAAATCTGTTCCCCTTTAAGCATGTTACTTTACCCTTTCTTTTGGATCTTGCTAAAAGGCAAATACAGTTTTAAAGTCCATCCTTTCCATTAAAAGTTCTTTAGTCTTATAAATGAACTCTATGTGGTTTTGTGGAGTTTTATATTTTTAAAAGAAAATGGCTATATGACAAATCTATCCAGTATTAACAATTTTCTTATAAACAAATACTTTGGTGATGAAAATATTTTTAATTATAAAAATCATTATGTAATGTGTATGAATATATGCAACTTTCATTTGTCAATTATATCTCAACAAAGTTGGGAGAAAGTACTTCTAAGTCAAAGATTAGAGTTAACAACAATTATGAAAATCCCATTTTGATAACTTCAGGATTAGCCAAGGATCTTTTGTTTTCTCTTTTCTGTTTCCTTTTTTTATTGAACCAAAAATATTTTTTAAAATATAAGCTCCAACTAACAAGGTGTTCTTTGTCTTAGAACGTGGATGCTGTGTTTTAAGTGTTATCTGAAAAGTAAAAGGAATAGTCCAGATTTCTTTGTAATGCAATTCACACCAGTAGCTCTTCTGCTCAGCCTATGATACACACACATAAACACACACACACAATTTTGAAAACAATTTAGCAAACTTCAAGAAAACAGCTTTCTACAGTAACAACTGTAGCAGCCATCTCTGTGGGGGATTTTAAATAAACACAAGGCTGTTTGGAAATACTTGTTATATGTAAATATGCAAAATATGTTGAACAGTGCTAACAGCTGTAGGGTGTACTCTCATTCTTGAGCAGAATATTTTGGTGGCAATGGTGGGTTTTATTTTTCCATCTTTCTTTTTATCCCCTTCCACTTGTCTTCAACCAGTCATTCTTCCAAAATTTTCTCTGAGATCTTGAAATTAACACACACCCCCGTGCTATTACAAGAGAATCATTTCATTAGATTCCCACTGGAAAAGGTGGGTGGCATCCTGAAGGAATGTTTCTGAGTTACCCAATGTTGAAAAGGCTACACTTCAGGGAACTTGCTTGGACTTGCTTTGACACCAGTCTCACACCCATCCCAGAGTCTCAGCAGGCCAGATTCCACTGAGGCTTGCATTGCAAAAGGCATGTAAGTCCTATTGTGAGTGGCCTTCCACCCAAGATGATCCCAGTGGTCACAGAATAAACATTTAAGTGTCTTATCAGGGTCTATAACAGAAAGGCACTCATCCATTTATGAAAATAAGCATATGCCTTTCTCATCAGAACCAAGATAGCAAGGGGGACTGAAGAGAAATTAAAAATGAAAGTCTCTTCTTACAGGATTTTTGACAGGTTGAGGGTTTGGAGCAGAAAAGGTGACAAATGTGAAGCAGAAAAGCCCAGATCCTACAAACAGATCCAGTGGTGTCTATTGATACTATTTAATCCATATTTCCTCAGTTTCTTCACCAGCTAGTGAAAATCAAATGACATAAGAAATCTAAATTGCTTTAGGAAAGCAAAAATTACTATGTAGCTACAAAGAGATGAAAATTAGCGTTACGCAAATGTATTGGAAGTAATTCTCACAAATGATAATTTGTATATAGCCTTATTTAGGAAAGCGTTAGCAATATAAAAATGAAGATATGAGTTTTAGCAATGCTATACATTCTTGGACAGTTTCCTTACCCTGTTTAAATCTAAATATGGTCGTCTGTAACATTAAGGAACAGAGGCTATTTCTTAGAGTTATAAGAATTAAATAAAATGTGATTCATTTATCACAGAGCAAATACTATTGTTTCTCTTTTATTCAATCTCATTTTTTAGTAACTGAGGAAACCTTTAGTTAACTACTTGCTAATTACACTCAACTGTAAGTGACAAAGTCAGGTTCAAAACTAACTAGCTAAACAAAAGTCTCAAGAACACCACAGTGTGTCCCAAAGTTCTTGCTGTTGTCACATCTAAATATATTTGGTGTGAGTAAATTCTAATAATCTCTTAGCAAACTAGAATAAGTTAAATAGTATGTGGAAGCAAAAATGTCCAGAAAGGGCAGGCTATTTTGAGATTGAGAAAAAAATGAAGTGGCTTTCATTTCAAATTTAAGATAAACTTTGAAATTATAGGCATTATTTTCAATTTGTGGCTGCAGAATCAATTCCTTTAACATATTCTTCTGGTCTAAAGGATTATGATTATTTTTCTACCAAAGTCAAGCCAAGTCTCATTAAAATACCGAATAATGGGCTGGAAGAATTGTAACATGTGCTGTGTTGACATCTTATTTTTCATCTGAAATTGTCAATCTTTAATCTCTTTAAGTGATAAGTTCTTGCTTTGTCTATTAATAAAATAAGAAAAATCCATTTTAATCCTGATTTTATTTTTTTTCAGTGAAGGAAATATTTTGAAATACATTCATTTTGCACATGCTAAATATGAGTTGGGGCAAGGCTAGAAACAATGGAATAAATTATTTAAAAACAATGATCTTAACTTGGAGCTTCTCTCTGGCTAAGAGATTGCAAGAAAATTCAGTAAATTTAATCCGCTACTTCCCGGTTGTTTGACATGAATAAAAATACATTTCCTCATCAGTAAAAATAAAGAAAAAGAAAACAAAAATGGCAATGCCTACATTATAGGGTAGGAATATGGATTTAATGGGATAAATTATAAATTCCTATTCAATTCTAGATATCATAGGGTTCCTAGGGAGCATAAGATCTTATATATCAACTAAATTAGCCTTAATTCATTAAGCAGAGAAACACAGGAACTTCAAAAAAGTCATATCATTGAATCCTGAGCAGAAATTTCCAAGGTGAGTTCTCTTATTTCCATGTTGCAGATTTGAGATGCAGAGATTTTAAATAACTTGGCTAAAAGAGAATCAGGATTGAATACTCAGTGTGCATAATTTCTAAGCTTATATCTTTTTCATTATACCACACATTTTTTTCAATCTACTAATTAATTTTTAGTGCTTTCTGTTTGCTCATATTCATACATAAAACAGAAGTCAATCAAGAGTGCAAAGATTTTGCTTTGGGTACCTGGAACCTGGCTTTTAAATTGTTTATACTGCAAACTAGCAGT